CACCGTTAAACGAGCGGCTGCACAGTCCGGCTCAGAAGGAGGGGCATTCGCTAGTTCACTAGTATAGTTCACTAGTTTCTGATGACTTACAGGCCTCACCTTGGTGAGACGTATAGACCCTTGTCGTGTAAAAGAAGTGCAAAAGAAGCTCGGGCTATTACTTAGCTTTACAGAAGTTTACAGGCCTCAAGAGGGGAGACGGGCAAGAGAATCGTAATTTGCCGCTCCGCCGCGCGCGGATGGCGCGGCGTTTTCTTAACTCGTGTTAACCTGTCGACTGGAGCACCGGACTTCATGTAGACCCGTCATCGTAGACATTCATGACTATTTTCGGTTCTGAATTGCCTGTTGTCGCCATCTACTACCTGGAACCATCGTCATTTGCGGGCGCGACGTCGCACGCGACGCCCACCAGCGCGGTGAATTACGATTCTCTTGTCACATACCCCCTTAAGAGGAGGCGTCGGCCCTGGTCGTTGGGAACCGGCAAAATTCCCCACCAGACTCAGCTGCGAAAAGTATCTTTGAACAGTGGCTATCATAATAAACCAAATGCAAAAAAATAATAAAGTTTCCGATAAATTATCACAAGAGTTATGGACAAAAGTCAGATCTCATCGAGCGTTGTCTTAAGGCCCGCACCAGACAGGGAAAATGCGACAAGGGGATCGGCGCGGCGGGGGTGAGAGTGTGGGGGAAATTAGGTGCTGGGAGGCGGGGTGGGATGAGGGGAAGAGGGAGGGGGAAGAGGGGGAGGAGGGGTGTGGCGAAGATAGTTTTAGCTCGAACCCACATCTCCCACTAACTGGACGAATGCGCTAACACGCTACCGGGGCCGCTCTTACCCTCTCAGCTTTATTAAACTAAAATAAATTCAGAAAATGGTTCATCAAACGACCTCACGGACGCTTTGATGTTGCCTATAAAGGCCCTATGCTAATTAGCTGACTTACTCCACGTCAACCCTGAGAAATGCCGTGGAAGCAGAACGGTGGCTTGTGCCCAATCCCTTTCCATTGTTTTCGTGACCTACCTGTCCACGTCGTCACCGGCGTGCAGTAATGGGTAGACGGACACTGTCTGTTGGTAGTACATGCACGTGCTGCTCCATTCTGCTCCTTCCACACCTAAGAAAAAATATTTTGAAAATATGTTCACAGGGTAAAACATCGTGATGTGTGAAAAGGCGGTGTCATTACGACCTCCCACCCCTCACTTCCACACTTTCCTCATCTGGTACGACCCCTTCCCAATCCTAGCTACTATCTTTCTAAAACTTTCCAACTTCCTACCGCTATTCCTTGTTTTCCCGTCAAAATTGTCCCCCCCCCAAACTTGCCCTTGAGCTGGGTGGAGGGGAGGGGCACCAATCCAATATTAATTCAAACATCAAAAACGGTGCTCATATGATAGTTTCGCAGCGCAATTACTTAAAGGCAGTTGGCACGATAAATCCCCCAAGACGAGTAGGATTAATACGCCTGGCAGGACGGAATTCCGCGACCCTGAGCAGGCGCTGCATAGCGCCTTTTCCAAGGAAGGTGCCCTTATAAGGGCCCTATCAAGCCACAACATACCGAACGCCCACCACGCCCGCCCGCCCACAAATGGACGACCGTTCCTGACGCTCTAATCGATTCATTTGCTAAGCAAATTATGAAGCGAAGGGATTGGTATGAAGCGGCCGTGATGCTGCATGGATATATGAGTACACATATGCAGCCGTATCTTCGGTAGCGGTTATTGGCAAGATGCCTACAGGAAACTCGTCCAAAATTGATTTTTAAGTCATTGAGAACGGAGGCTTTTTCTTCGCAGGATTTTGACCGTTTCACTCCGTTCTTTCGCCATTTCCCCACTATATAGCGCCCTACTAGCATTTTAGGCCGAACCGAATCATCGTGCCAACTGCCTTTAAGGCTGGGGGAGGTATATAGCGCACAATAGCAGGAACCACTATAAAAAATTTCCTCGCGTCTCGGAGACCTTTTGCAAGGGCAAGTAGGACCCTACTCCCCAGCAACCAAGCACGATTCCTTCCCTCCCCCTCCGCCCACCCGATGGGATTCTCCCAACGATGCTGTACCCTGGGAGTCAATTGACAAAATGCAGTTTTCTTTTGTTCCACGATATTAACGCCGTCAAGACGATGAGATGTCAACGAGCGCTGAGTTGGTGCGAGCTGAGATGGGCCCGGTACAGAAAGGTACCGACAAAAACGAACAAACATCCGCTCGCACTCTCTTCTCCTCATTAGTCAATAGAGCGCAGATTAGCTGCGGGTCAGAGCGGCGAAGCTTCGTACGTGGACAAACATGACCTGCGCTAGTCAGTGTCCTTCCGCAAAGACTGCGAGCAATTTCTGGTGATCAGGTGATGCCCACAGGACCCATAACCGTAGCTAAACTATTAGGATTTTCCTGTACCCGGATCATGTTATCAATGAGTAAAGGTGTGTTTCACATTGAATTGGAAGGGCCAACGCCGCTCGTTCTAAAAGAGATCACTATCAGGGGGACAATAAGGTCCCGTATGACCAAGGAATGCGTCCAGGAGAGGAATAATTTATATCTCTGCCTAAACTCCTTTCCCTGACATTCCCCAAGAAGCTCAGAGATAGTGAAAGTGCACCGACCTCTCCTCCATCTGGGCAGGATTCCACTCTACAGTAATCCTTGCAATCCTGCTGTGTGGCGAAGTTATTTGAATTGCCATCACATCCATTGAACGAGTACGTCTGGCAGGTTCGTGTCGTCGAATCGTAGTACCATCGAGTAACTGCTGGACCACATGACGCTCCAGATTTGTAGGACAACGAGCAGGTGTATGCTGCAATAGTTCCGCGTATTTTTTCGGTATATATTAGTGTGTAGTGATGGGACGACTCCGCCCAAAAGGATCGGCCGTGGATTAGTGGCTGCAACTAAAGTATTTCAATGTCCAAAGACACACTATCCACCGCAAATAGTCTCCGAAAAACCTTCCCATAGCCACCTTGCCCCCCGCTGAGTTGCAGGCATATCTCTACGGCCATCTTGCCACGCAATGGATACTTATTGTTTTCGCTTGAGCACCTGCGCATGGAATGACCATATTGTACACTTCAAACTGGTCAAAGTGTGAAGCCAGGTCCCGCTGCCTGACCTTCGCCCACGGCCGTTTCCCCTTTCCTCTTAAGTGCACCCGGCCGCCCTACCGTAAATAAGTAAGAGGTGCGTACTGAGGCTCACTATCCAATACCAAATTTATCTGGGAATGTATATCATTAAAAAACAGCCACACATACAATTCTTTCTGTCAAACTTTTTGGGGAAGTCGAGCGCGTGGCGCATACCTATAGTGAGTATTTTCAACAATAAGGGGGTCGTGGCTATACGCGCGATATATCAGCATACTGTTGCCTTCCCAACACCTATTTGCTCTGCTTCGTCTCTCTCTGCTTGGCGCGCGTCTTATCCCACTCTCACACTAACCCGTTTGAGCCTAACCATATGGCCATGTCAGTATAAGCCCTACAGGGATGCCAACGCTGTCAGGTTGCGTATGATTCAAAAACTCTAAAATAAAAATTTATTTTACAAACTTTATCATCTCCTATTCACAGAAGAAGGAGAGCGGTGGTGTAGATCCCCTCAAATCAGTGATGTCGCAACTGCCTACTATATTGATAGTTGTCCAAGGACATCCTCTCGCCTTCGACAGATGCGGGAAAAATGTTCGTCATCAGGGAGATACATGCTGGGTCCGAACCCATGAGAGGGATTCTGAGTCCAGAGCAAAACATTTTTTCCCCTTTGACGGGCTTTTGGCAAATTCTCGCGCCTCTACTCTTCTTTCTTGAGCTTTTTAGACAACGAGGGAGGAGGAGGAGGGGTGGGTCATTTTGGACTTTTTCACAATTCTTTTGTTTTTTCAAAGTCAACTAGCAGCGTAAACGGGTTTGCTGGGACTCTGTTAAGCTCGCTGAAGCTGCCAGTTAGTCCCAGTGCAAGTCGAGCACACTCTTGGCCGACAGGAATTCACAGGATCTTTCACAAGCTCGTCCTGTAAAAGCTTCATCAAAATGAAATTCGCATGCCCTCTATCGTGCCGAAATTCGCATCAATATTCATATTCTCTAGTGAAAAAGGCAAAACAACCTTAGGTTGGACAGCATCCGTAGGTAGTCCCGTCATAGTAACAGTAGTGATTGGCTGGGCAAGTGGTCGATGCAGCCGTGGTACCACCGCAAATAATGAAGTTACCGTTTGAATCGGTAAGTGCTGTGCCTTGTATACATTGGGGTTCACCTGAAAAAAGCTTTTTACATCACTCTTTCGAGGATTCCTTGAGGATTTCACTCCATTCACTTGAGATTTTTTCGGGAAATATCATCAAGAGGTACTTCTGGCATCGCGACAGTAGTCCTGACACTCTTTGTAAGTCTCAAAGTTGTTCGCATTTCCTTGACATCCCGAATAGATGAACTCTTCACAGTTACCGGTCTTGGCGTTGAACCACCATCGGTTCGAGTACGTTCCGCAGTTACCCTGCAATAGTGCTCGTTAGGTGATTGCTGCGCTGTGCGGTCAAAGAAAATCTCGCGGTGATGACGAACCTGCTCACGCGGAAGTTTGCACACGTACTGCGGACGTGGACAGCAAACACCACCAAAAGTGGTCGATCCTAAACACTATCCATTCAACCTGACTGACAGCATACATTGAAGAGGATTAAAGACACATTCGCGATTTCAAATCGTAGTTAGTCGGGATTCCAGACTGGATGATAGTTGACTCGCCAGTGAAGAAAAAGCCAAGAAACCATCTAGTAAGTAAGGGGGTAAGTAAGATCCCTTCTAACGTACGGATATTAAGGGAAATTATCGTCGTGGAATTCACATAGAGGTAAAGATTGTTTTGGTCACTAGGGAAGGGTAGACCTAATGGCTTGGCAAAAATCCCTCTACCCCAATGATCGGAGGCTTGTGCTCTTTCCCATCTTCCTCTCCCGCCGCTCGACGGCATTATCAGAGTGTTTGTAGTGACAAAAGAAGGAAACACCGGGGCTTATTGAGGAAAATCTCTTACATCTTTATGAAGTGCTCTCAAGATGGTTCGGAAAAAGGATTGCGAGCTAAGATGAGCAGAGCACGTCGTACATTGGGAAACGGACCGTGTACGGGGGTCCTATTCGGTCGCTCTGAGGAGGGGAATCGCATTAAGAAAAAGAAAATTTTTCCGGTTTCAGGTGCGTTATACTCGTCTCCCCACCCCCTCCCGCTATGCGGTGACTTTCGAAAAAAAACACCAGGGAAAACGGTAAGAGGTCAAGAAAATTAATGAAGATGGTTGGTAGGATGATGGGGTTGGGAAATCTTGAGAGGGGGTCGTATTTTTAAAAGTTCTTGCTCAACGGCAAGACGGGTCCTAGCTCTACTTGTTGGTATCGCAACCATAGCACCATCGTTCCCACCTTTTCCCTAAAGCATCACTTCCAATTCAGGATTCTTATGATTGCCTACTTTACCCTGCCTGGCACAAGCAGTCGCAAGCCGTTGGACATGGGCGTGACTACAACACCTCACGGGCCTCTAGCGTCCGTATCACTGAAATTGAAGTGGCAAAAGTGGTACTGCTGCGGGCCTAGCGGTGTAGTTCACGACATCCGATGTGCGACATCGCACAAAATCAGAAGAATACTTCTTCGCTGGTGACCTTGACACGGCCCTTATTATTATGGATCAGTTGGATCCTGGTGCGGATGTCACGCATGTGCACGGCTTTTTTCGTTGCGTTTTGGATGAGCTGAAACAC